AGTTGCTCTCTGGATAATCTTTCAACCACTGCAGCAGCTGCTGCACACTTTCGGCCGCAGTCAAGCTACCATCCTTCACCTGTTTCACGCATGGGATCAACCCGTCAGGGAATCCACAACAGAGAGCCGCAAAATGCGGGACGTCGGCCCACTGCTTCTCGTCCTGTCGAAATAAATCCTTCAGCTTCAACGCATAGTCCAGCACACGCCTCGTTGGGATTGATGGAACCGCAAAGCACAGACAAAGAAAGGCAGCGCAGCCAATGGAATAGATCGACTTGCCATGCTCTAGGGCTGCTGAAGAACCAGCTTGGAGCCGCGTCACAAATTCTCTTTTTTTGGGATTTTGAATCTCTTTTCCCTGGATTGCATTTGATTGAGGGTTTCAGTTCGCGTCATTTTCTTTTGTCATAGATAACTTCAAATAGGCAAATGATATGCTCGAACAGCATTGAACAACCAGATATTTTGGAGACAATCCACTGTATCATCAATTCACCAAAGCATGGGGTGACCACACCATAAGTTCTGCTGGTCCAGCCCGGCGAGATTTATAAGGCAAGTGTCCCTGAACCAGCAGCTTGGCGTATGAAGCTCTAGCTGACTGTGGTTTATGAAATTTGTGGGATGCGATCGAAGACTTTAAAGCAAACACGATAGATGATTGTAGAATATTGATGGATATTGTAGGTTGCATCCTTTATATTCTGAATAATATACACATATCTACGCATCCATCATATGAGTACCAAGTGGGAAATTATGTACATACATGGTCTATGGTTTACACAAACATACATGTGATGATATCATGCATATATATATATACGCACATGTGTGTGTAGCTGCATGCTATATTAACGTGCTCACAACTTGGGGACCAAATTCGTCCAAACACCACCCCCAAACCAAAATTTCACTTAAAAAGACTGGGTGTATGGCCATAGTTATACCCATCAAAATAACCCCAACAGCACATCCAAGTCAGCTCCGGCTCCTCATATCTCAGTAGAACCCCATTGTGGTAATTGTAAACCCAATCTATACCAACAATAAGCAATAATCATCAACCAACCAATATATATATATATAATATAATTATATATTATATAACTATATATAATCATATATAATTATTTATAATTATATATAATTATATATACTATGGCATGGTTAAACAGGATATGGAGGATTAAACTTCTACAAAAACGGCTCCTGATAAATGGAGGCCTTTGTAGTCGACCAACGCGGGATTATTTTCCGATTGAAACTGCACCAGGGGCTGTAACAGCAACAAAGGGTTTTTTATGATGAAGATACAACAAAAAACAAGTTATCTATCCCAACCAATTTAATGACAGGTGTTTTCATTTGTTTATCCATGCATTAAATCGATATAAGTCAATTATCCATGAAAACAGACCATTTTTGCACTAAATATATACACACTTTTAATAATCTGTTAACAAGATAATCTGCAGCATTGGCTCCAGAAAGCCCTTGAAATCATCAACCAACTAGGGCAGATCACGGTGTCTTACCTGGTGAAACTGACAGATTTTTTCCCATCTTCACATTAGCCAATGATCGACATAAAGTGAGTATCAAAGATGTTAACAATGATTACCCTCCAGTAAATTAACATAGACCCTGGTAGATAGGGGTTGGAAGATTAGTTTCCTCTAACAATTGGTGATTTTCAGGGTCTATGTTAATTTTCCAGAGGGTAACCAATATCATTAATCATTCTTGGGAGGATAGGATTATCAATTTTGGGGGATTTTTTTTGTGGTTAATAATATGGCTAACCATTAATAATATGAATGATCAATGAATCAATGAATCTAATTCTGAAGGATACACCAATATTAATTAATATTGATATTATTGGTGACTCCATGAATAATAATATTGCATAATATTGCTATATAATATATGCTAATATTACCCTGTGGTTAGTTAACGTAGCTATGGAAAATCACCATTTTCAATAGGTCAATCATCATAACTCATCTATAAATGGGCAATTTTCCATAGCTATGTTAAATAACCAGAGGGTAAATATTCAACAATATCATTAACCATGATTGGCTCCTCCAGCAACTGCACCGCTCTCTGATGGCACAGCTCTTGCACTTCCACGGTGCTCGCCGTGGCGGTGCAGACGTGCGCCACCAAGCGGGCCGTCGAGGCCTGGGCCAGGGAGCCTGGAAAGGGGGAAGGTGCAACAAAAATGGGGGCTATGTCCGTTTCATGGCCATTGAATGGGGAGAAATGATATGATATGATGGATTTTACCATGACTTTTACCATATGATATGATGAATTTTACCATAAGAGATGTGTTCATCATATCATTGCAAAACATGGAGTTAGCCAAGGTTAGCTTGAGATGACTGAGTTACCACGTCAACTAACAGTTTGACGCTGAGGAGGGTGGCATTTTTATTGTTGGAACGTAGAATCTTTTGACCCAACTCATGGCAGGGTTTATGTTAGCTGGGGGTAATTAATTTGGATAATATATTGGGATATCCAATAAGTTGGATAATATATTGGGATATATATATATATATTTGGATGATATATTTGGATGATATATTGGATATTTGGATGATATATAAGTTCAGCTATTCAATATTGGAATGATCCTCTTGCAACAACGTGTGGCTGAAATCCAAGTTCAGACATATTTGGGAAGCAAAAGAGCTGAGATCTGAAATTTTGGAGCCCCCTAAATGCCAAAAACATCTGTCTTATATCAACATTCTGTGTATATACAATTATGTATGTATATATATATGATTAAACATGTATTATATTGGTATGCTATATCATATATATATATAACTTTATTTATATAGTAACCACAAGAAGAAGAAGTATAATATACTTATAGTTATTGTATCATATTGTATAATATTATATCATATTGTATCACTATATCTCAGAAATACTTGTTTTATGTCTACCAGTATCCCTGCCATGGTGCGTTGCTGCCATGGTGGGGTCACCGTGCCTCATCCGCACCCAGCAACTCTTGGAATTCATCGGTGAGGTCCTGCAGTGCCATGGGGATTCTGAGGCGGTTTTCACTGGTTGGTGGTTGACCTATCCCTCTGAAAAATGATGGAGTTCGTCAGTTGGGATGATGAACTTCCCAATATATGGAAAGTCATAAAAGCCATGTTCCAAACCACGAACCAGTATAAAATTGGATATATCACCAACAATGTAGTGAAAATTCCATGTGTTTTCTAGTTTTGGAGGAACCCAAATCATCCAAAATGGGACCCCTAAGTTGCGAAATATCAATAATAGAGACGACACGCAAACAACTACCATTGCCGGGGTTGACTAGGAGTATAAAACCCAGTGTCAAGATCTTCAGTGGGACGGGTGCTCCAATTCAAGGCTCCTTAGTTTCAGGATACCAGTGTACTAGTCCATTTTTAGGGAAGTCAACAACGTCAAACACAGATTGGGATATGAACAAGTGTTGGCATAGTCCGGGTGTGGCTCAAAAACTGGGCTCCAGGGGCTCCTATGAATCCGCAAATGTATTGATTGTTAGTACCAAACCATCCAATTGGCAGTATCCTCATTTTGCTTGAACATACCCACTAAGCTGGTTATATACATTGCCAATAAATCATACATTGCAATGCGGGTGAAACATCGTGTAAGTCACAACTCTCCCCCATTTTCAGCGCCATCGTGCTCCCATCGCCTGAAAGTTCTGCCGTTGGTCACCACTGGGATCAGAGATCTTCAGCTGCGTCTGCCACGCGTAGAAGTCGCCCGTGACCTCTGGCGGCCCGGGCTTCGGGCGGCTCGGGATGTGCACAGGATGGATCCATGGCCCATTGGTGATATAATGGGATGAAAACTCATGCTGATTTAGTGGAAAACTCATGGGGATATAATGGGAACTATAGTATCTACAGATATCTATACAGTATCTACACGTAACTAGAATGCAAAGTTGGATGGATGAATTTACTGAAAGGGCAAGCCCAATGCCGAACTGTCATTTACAGACTGTTGTAGATGATAGACTGTCGTAGATTAATAATATGTCTCTATCATTTTCAGAATTCCAACTTTTATCCTTATGAATCGATGGGATAACACCCTCCGGTAATCAGCTCCATCATAGTTTGTGCCATGATTTTCCCACATGTAATTTAGATGCCCATGTATATAGTTCAGGATTTCCCAAATAGCCATGTTTGAGCTACCGGAGGGTACATTGGAATGGATGAAATTACTATCGCCCCAAGTAACATATAGACCCTGGCATAAGTTGGGGGTTGGTAGACTACTGTCCATAAACATGGGTGACTAATTAGTTGAGGTCTATGTTGATTGAGGGGATCGTAAGATCTTTGGGGTATATAAAATTCATTTACGAGTAAGTATATCATGATCTGCGTCGTGTGGCAATGAGAAGCAACCTCTTGCCCAAAGACTGTGGTTTCCCAATTGTTATATGTTCGAAGAGGATAGCATCGACATCTCAAAATGATGATGGAATTGTTGGATTCTCAACAATATCAGATTTGGTGGGAAGCAAATTTCTACTATGCTACCGTTTTGGTGGGAATGTGTGCATGCTATGTACAAGAACACTGCATTACCCGCATTTACATGCATTTACAACGACGTTAATCACAGATTATAATCACCAATCTTATCATCATACCAACAAATGGATAATTACACATGATGATTTTATTCATATTTAAACAACAAACACTGGATACAACAGGAATCGGACATAACCAACGATTCTGGGTCTGCAAGACCTGAGAAGCATGGGGTGCTGACGGCACCATCAACAAACGCTGCGTCACTTGGATTGTCGGAAAAAAAAAGGTTACCCCAAATTTTGATTGTTAAATCATGTTCAAAACTATAAATATCCAATGGCATTTGTTTGGGGGATATACCGGTTATTTCCTATTCCCAGACAAACCCATTTGAGATCCCAAGTTCCTTTTTCGTTCCTCACGCAAGTTTGGTCTGATCTCAGTTCCTCAGAGTGCCGAAGCGACTCGCGACTCGGCTACCGATCTGTCGCCGAAGTCCGAAGGTTTCAAATGGACAGCGGCTGCGCTGCCATTTGAGGGATCAAATTTTCCTGATTCCATATCAAATTTGTTTGATTCCACATGTGTATCATCGCTTTTTGAGATCCGAAAGAAGAGATCCAATGTCACCAATGCATCACTTCCAGCGGTATGTGCTTGTCCATAACGGATCACACCATGGCTCCGCGCTAAATTTGACAACGATCCAAAGGGCAGCCGGTCTCGCAGTTCATGACGACCTGCACAGGTCTCTTCCAGTAACACTTCAAAATCACCTTGGATTTGCTCAAGGAACAGCAGAAAAAAAACAAGAATCATCCCATATCTTAATGTTTATATAATTTATATCCCCTTTGTTTCCAATAGAACTTCCCATTAATCCATTACTTACTACAGTGCTTAGTAGAGAATGGGAGAATGATCCATAGTCCATATAGTAACTATATAACAAACAATCATCCCATTCTCCATTCCCATCCAGTTCCTACATTTAGCACGTGCCAAAGGTGCCAAAGCCAAGGCACACAAGGTCTCAGGAAGTTCCTGCTTCATCAACTGCACAAGATAGAGCAGGTCCGTCATTCCAGCAAAGGTCACCCATCTGCACGAAGAAAGTCCTGAAGCTTGCCTGGGTGGCTTGCGCTGTCACAACAAAAATAAGAACAGCAAATAGCAAATACAGTAAATTCCGTATTTATTGTGGATTGACCCATGTAAAAAAAAAATACAACATATATCTAAGCTGTGAATACGCATTCCCACGGGAAAAACGCATGTTCATACATTCATCGTTCTCATGGGTTAAGTTTCAGGAAAGTTTGGCCCAAAAGATATAGAAGCATGCTGAAGCTTCCCCCCGTGATTCGACCCCCAGCGATGAGCTTGGAAGAGGCCAAGCAAATCGCCCAGGGTGTGCGAAGGGACACGTGGTCCCAGTTCGACCTAGTTGAAGTGTTCGGAGCCTCGGGGGCTTTGGTGAGAGGATTTGAAAATGCTGGATTTGAACCAGCTCCATCTTTTGATGTCAGTGGCTTGGCATTGCCAAGCAATTTCAATTTTGTGGAATTTCCACAGGCTATAGTTGATTACTACTTTTTCAGAAGTAAGATATTTTCAGGATTGGAGATTTCCTGCCATCCAATTTGTTTCCTGCAAGGAAACTCAGAAGAGCAGAACATTCACACCAGGAAAGGCTTGGAATTGCTGGCTCGAACTTTGGGCGCTGCAAGACGAGGATTACGTTTTTGCAAATCATAATCCACCTATGTGGAAATTCCATGGTTTTCCCCAAAGGCCACCCCACCGATAACATTGGGTTTTACTGCCAGTAGCTAGTAAGGATTCATGAGGGTCAACAAGATCTTTGGCAATATTTTATTAGGGGCTGACCTCTTGAGGGGTCACACTTCAATTTCCAGGAGCAAAATGAATCACTGCTGCTGGAGTGTTTTTCGACTGAAGCAGTGTGTAGCGATAGGCTAGTCCCCATTGTGAAATAATGGTGCGTAATCTCCACTTCATAACACTGGTTTATATGCAAATATGCATGCATGCAAGAGGCTATATATGCGATGCCCCTGGCGGTACCATAGCCAAAAAAGTTGTTCAAAGGTAACCCCAAACTACTGATAGACCATATACCCTCAGACCTCTCCTCCACCTGTCCTCCTTGGGATTGCGAGAAGCTGCTTCCTCTTCATTTCCTCTTTCTGTTCTCTTTATTTCCTCTTCTTTTCTCTGTCTTTTCTTTTTCTTGTCTTTGTCTTTCCTTTTACTTTCCTCGTTCTTTCCTCTTTCTTGTCTCTGGGTTTCCCCTTTCTTTTCCTTTCTCTTTTCTCTTTCTTTCCTTGTTCCTTTTTCCTCCTTTCCTTTCCCTTTCCTTTTTTCTCTTGTTCCTTTCCTCTTTTCCATTCTCTCTCTTCCTTACCCCTTCCTCTTCTCTTCCTTTTATCCTCTTTCCTTTGCCTTTTCTCTTCCTTTCCATTTGCTTTCTTTAGACACATTCTTTCCTCTCTTTTCATAAGTGCATAAACATGTGTTGTGATGGGCCTCCCACAAAGCGCTATGTTTGTTTTTGGGGGCTTAGTGAAAACAATGGGTTTGAAAACATGACACTCTACACCATTATCGCATTTAAGGTTGTGTTTCTGCATCTTGATGGTTTCAGGTGGGCTTATAGTGCCAGATGTATCTTTACAATCGTGCTAGTCTTTGATGGTGGGTTTGGGTTCGTTTCGTTTATATGTATGTAGGATGCTTTTGGTGCCATCCTAAGGGGTACATCGATAAATAACTACACGTAGGGCTTTACCATGATCAGGAAATGGCAAGGAACTTAACTAAGTCTCAACCTCTTCCACACGTCTGTATAGAATCGGGAGTCGGGTACCCCTGCTTAGGAGCACTGGTCTTTATCATGCCGACTTGCGGGGGATGGATCTATCTTTCTCGTGGCACTACGTTACGTGGTCTTGTAGCTCAACTTTGATTAGAACAAATCGCAAGAGTGGTTTCTTCAACAAGTAACTAAGTAAAACAAGATTGCAACCATTCGACAATCACTGGAACAGCTTACTTGTGAAGTCGTGCGTTCAAGATTTTTGCCATGTGTGAGGTGCTGACAGGTTACGCTGGGTGCATGACGGTGCTGACAGGGAATGCGGTGGCTGAGTTGGTCAGTGTTTGGTTGCTGCCCCTAGTTGAGTTCCTGGAGATGCAGTGGGTTATTGAACAGCCTTTTTCGAGCCTTTTTTTTGCTTGGCCGAAGCTGGCTCCCTTTCTCTCGGGTCCAAAGTGCTCAAGGGAGGTGCTTGAGTTGAGCACGTTTGGGGCCATTTGCTCGAAGCAGCTGATTCTGCAAGGAACCTGGTCAGGTCTTCCCCACTTGAAGATGATCGAGTGTGCCTTGAAAGATCTTTTGCCGCCCCAAAAGGATCTTGACCTTGCCAAGGCATCACAACCGTCCGGGAGGCCTGAGTGAGCCCAAGAGTTATTACCAAAGCCTTGGGGGTTCCATGACATTTCCCCATGTAGATTTCAGTCGAATTGCTCTGTTTAAATTCTAGGTCCACATGTCTTTTGACCATTAGTTGCTAGCAGATGGTCTTTCACGAAGAAATACTATTCATCCCAAATGTTTGTTGCAACAGTGTCCAGGCAACCGTGTGTACTATATATTATATATGGTTGTCTATCTAATATTGTGGAAACAAATTAAACTGTTGATTGATGACTTTGAAGTATTTTGCTCGCAGACTTTCATTATCGGTGAAACTGGCAGCTTCTATTTATATTTTATACATGAATCACTTCCTACTTGGGCCCCTCGAGGTGGATCACAGGCAACGAGTACACCTCCTTCAGTTGCGTCTACCCTGACTGTTTTGGATGTGCCGTGGGGTTTGCCGAGTCCATGCGGTTGATGGTTGACATGGGAGAGGACGGAGATCTCAAGCCTGTTTCAAAACAATGGGCCCTTGTTTTGAAAGCCTTTCACTACATGCCACTGGAGGAAGCTAAGAAAGAAGCGGATGAAGCAATTGCACTTGGTTTGAAATCTGTAAATTGTCAGTTTTGTTGACAACCTGGAACTATTTGGGGATGCGCAATTCTGTGTCCATTTCTTGTGGATTATATCTGTTTTGGCTACAGGTAGATTAGTCTTTTGGGGTGTTGTCCCATCCAGTCTCGGAAGCTTTCTGGGGCTTCCTTGTGTTTAGTTAAGGCTCGGCTGAAAGCCTCTGGGAAGAAGAGCTTTGATATGGACCCAGGTTGGCCTGGAATTGAGCATGACCTGAAGAACCTGGCCACGATTCCTATTCAAACACGTCGAGCATGGTTGAAGGAGAAACGTGATACAGGAAAGTTTGACAACTTCTTTCCTACAGGGAATGCAAAGCCGCGCTGCTCGTTTTCCCAGGTGAAGAAAAAAACTAAGGCAACCAAGGCTTCAAGTTCTTCCAGCAAGGCACCTGCAGAGAGCCTCAAGATTACCACTTTCTTTCCTTCCAGGAGAGACATGTCACAATGTTTCTTGTTAGTTTCACTTCTGCGTGGTGTTGTTTGTGAAGCGACAATGGTTTTTCCAATGCAGGCTTTATTGTCTCACTGGTTCGTGTCTAAGGAAGAGTTGCCATGAACTTGATCACAGTGCTGATGTCTGTATCTTTTCCAGGAGCCCGGTTCAATCTTGTGAACAGCATGGACATGAACAGCGAGCCAATGGCAAGCGTTTCAAGGCACGGAGTAGTTGAGGGATCTTAGGTGCCTCAAGTGTAAACTCTTACTGTGACTAAGGGTTTTTAATCTTTAAGTTTCTATTTATTCGAGCTTGATTCAACTAAAAACTGACGAGTTCGACGAGTCTGACGGGTCAGTATTGCCTATCTCCTGTCTTTACCTGGCTTTCCTCCCTCCAATCTCGTGTGCTGCAGGTGTTGAAGCCCATTGCGGAGTGCATTGATCTCGATGAGTGAAAGGCCATTGGTTTTAGTGGAGCCGTGAGCTTTCAAAATTACTTTACTTCGAGTTATCCCCACCATGACATCTATATGTTTTGTTACTGGCAAATCTTCTGGCATGTTATTTGACATATCTTCTGGCATTTTATCTGGCATATCTTCTGGCATTCTATCTGGCATATCTCCTGGCATTCTACCTGGCATATCTTCTGCAATATGTTCTGGCATATCTTCTTGGACTCTATCTGGCATCTCTTCTGGCATATCTTCTAACATTCTATCTGGCATTCTATCTGGCAAACCTTCTGGCATATGTTCTGGCAAACATTCTGGCACTTTATCTGGCATACAGTCTGGCATTCTATCTGACATTCTATCTGATCTGGCATACCTTCTGGCATTCTATCTGGCATATCTTCTGGCATTTTATCTGTCTTATCTTCTGGCATTCTATCTGGCATATCTTCTGGCATTCTACCTGGCATATCTTCTGGCATATCTTCTGGCACTCTATCTGGCATATTTTCTGGCATATCTTCTGGCATATCTTCTGGCATATCTTCTGACATTCTATCTGGCATTCAATCTGGCAAATCTTCTGGTGTTCTATCTGGCAAACATTCTGGCACTTTATCTGGCATACAGTCTGGCATTCTATCTGACATTCTATCTGGCATACCTTCTGGCATTCTATGTCGCATATCTTCTGGCATTCTATCTGGCAAACATTCTGGCACTTTATCTGGCATATCTTCTGGCATTCTTTCTGACCTTCTATCTGGCGTTCTATCTGGCATATCTTCTGGCATTCTATCTGGCCGTTGAGGTCCAGCGGTGCTCACTGAGCTCGGAGGGTCCCAGGTTGAGGTCCAGCGGTGCTCACTGAGCTCGGAGGGTCCCAGGTTGAGGTCCAGCCGTGCGCACTGAGCTGGGAAGGTCCCAGGTTGAGGTCCAGCGGTGCGCACTGAGCTGGGAAGGTCCCAGGTTGAGGTCCAGCGGTGCGCACTGAGCTGGGAAGGTCCCAGGTTGAGGTCCAGCAGTGCGCACTGAGCTCGGAAGTTGGCGAAGAGATTGGCGAAGAGTTGGCAAGGCGGAAGTGGAGGTGGAAGTTGATGCAGACATGATCGAGGAGAAACTGGAGGAGGAGGCGGAGGAGGAGAAAGCAGGA